TATCAGTTTACCATTTATTGATCGGTAAGTTAATATTGAATAAAGAAAAATTGTACATAGTTTTCAATTTATTAGAATACTATTTATATTAAATAATTTTTAAAATGATATTTCTCACTTCTGTGAGATAATATGAGCAATCATCCCCCTAAAAAACACATTGTAATAACAAATTATGTTAATTGCTTGATTTATATAACTTAAAATTCATTTCCAAGTATAATTGTCATCCGTAAATGTTAAAAATCATATTTTGTTTTCATGTTCTTCCAGTGATTGAGTTCCTCCCCCCCCCCACCACACACACTCCTTAATAAGGGTCCAGAACATTCCCGCTATCTAGCCTATATATGAATCACATTTTGTTTATATTATATATATAATATTATCTAATATTATTTAATAAATTCTTTATTTTTATACAGTTGTACCTATCATTTTTATTTCAGAATTTTAACTTTTAAATTATAGTAATAAATTGATGTATTGAAAATAACATGAATATTAAAATTATCTCTTTCAGATGCCTTAAGAGTTCATCCCAAATTCAAATCTCTTATAAACAAAGAATTTGATATTCCATTAGCAACATGGTTAGCGCATGCAAAATTTAGAATGCACAACAAAAATATTGACAAAATAACTAATAATAACAGTACAACTCTTTAAAAAACGTTTTCTATTTTTTTTTTCTATACTACTATTTAATATTTCAAATGGGAAAGAGGAATTTGTTTTAATTAATTTTTTTACAATTTTATATTATAATTTATAAGTATAATGTACCATGTATCTTATATATTGTTTCGTATATTTTATTTATGTATAAATAATAAATAATTTGAAGAAATATGTATGTATAATAACTTGTACAACCTGCTATACATAAGTATACAATTTTTTTACTTCTATTAGTAATATTTCAAACAAGGGAAAGAAGAATTTATTTTTATTTTATTTCTTACCTTTACATTTATAATTATTATATATATTGTATGTATGATGTATCTATTATATGCCTATATTATATTGTTTCATATATTATGTTATTTATATATAAATAATAAATAATTTGTTTAATTTAAATTTTTATTTATTTAAACAATAATAAAGTCACAGTTCTACACTGATTTACTTATTACTTAAACTAAATGTTTCCAATATTTCTCACATATATATCATTAGAAAAATTTCACAACTTATTTTAACTGGGGTGACATTTATGAAGTTATAATAAGAACTCTCTATTAACATTATTTATGGTTTTTTTTTTAGGATATTTATGAATAATATTATTATTCGTACAAGGTAATGGAGACTATATTTATTTTAACCCATTTTAAATGTTAATGAAACTTTATTATTAAGAGCAAAATATATTTTTAAAACATTAATCAAATGTTTGTAAAAAAATATTTTGTAGATTATCAGAAATGATATTTTCTAAAGCTTTTACTAATATGATGGTAAGTTAAAGTAACATTATACCGACTTAAAAAAAAATATTTTGAGAATGTGATTTTAACAATATTCGAAGCATATTATCCATGTAATATTTCTAGAATCCGAAAAAAAGTGGCCAAATAAAGACAATAGAAGATTCCTAGAATGTTAAAATTACATTATTTTAATCGGTTTAAAATCTTATTGGAACATTATTTTTAAATTTCTAACATTCAAAAAACATTCTATCAACATGATTTTGCTATCTGGGCGGTATTCTGTTATGGGTTCATCAGGTTCAAATCGCCAAAGAATTCGTAAATAATCACGGTCTTCAGAATGAATTTCAATTTGTCGATACATTTGCTTGATGTCAGCTGTAAACAGAACCTTATGTACTCGGGCACGAATCAGAATCCGTGGTAAGTTCTGTTGCAGCTTGCGACCTGTGTATAAGTTGGTATTGAGTGATTGTCCCGTGGTGGTCTTGGCAGATGCATCAAAGACGACTCGGAGTTTAGTTGTCTTACTCTCAGGACGCATGATGCAGTGGTGTGGGATGTAGTAACAATATGGAGTCATTCTTTGATTCATTGGGACTACTTCCATATGTTGACTCACTAGGTAATCTCTCATGAACTCCTTATATTGTCGGGAAAGCTCTTCATTTTGCGACAATCGGCGTTCCAAGTACCGAAATCGTGTTTGAGCCATGCTCCGAGAATCTCCGAGGATTGGGTTAGGATGTTTCAATGGTAGCGCAATGCTAAATCGACCAGATGCCAGACGTTTCACTGAGGACGTGAATATTTTTTCTGCGTGGATTTCATCTGGGCTCAAATGGTGTATATGCGGTGGTTCCTCCATCTCCCAAAATTTCGATAAAGATTGTTCAAGTGTCGAGTCAGAGGTGACTAACATTGACGTGACTGACTTGGGTCCCAGACAGCAATTGTGTAACATCAATATTATAATAACGTTAGTATTTAATTAAATATCAAATATTACAATTTTGGTGTTACAATAATATTATCTAGAGTTTAAAATTGTAATATTACACGTATAATGTTTCTTTAATGTGTTAATTAAGTTGTTTTTATAACGTTAAAGTTTAAATCACTTAATAATATTACAATAACATCAAGTTCTTAACTTATTATAATATTTTGCTTAAAATATTTTGTGCATGTTTTGAATTGATTTTTTGTAGTATGTTTGAATTATTATTATTAAAAAACAATATGATAACATTTAACGAATAATCTATAATAGTAATATATATATATATATAATATATTGCATAATCGATTGAATTATTTGTAACCCGAATTCCCATGTTTCCGAGGGTCTGTTATCAATAATAAAAAAAAAAAATGTATTATCATTTTATTTTGAACATCCAATGAGGTATATGTATACATATACACTATAATATATAGGGTATAATTCACTAAACATATATGCCCACCCCCCTTCAAAAAATAGGTCCCTTGCCATCACTCAATGGATAGTATACTGAAACATAATTTTGATGTTAGTTTCATTCTGATTATTTAAGATTTGTATTTTTATACAAACAGATACCTTTTGACTTACACGTTTAAACTTAAATTGTTGTATACATATATTTTTTTTTGTAATAATAGATATTGAACATTAAAATAAATGATTATAATATAATAATTTAGTAATGAATTGCCAAACTGGGTACTTTTTATCTTTACTTAATATCTTTTAATTAAATTGTAATTGTAGTTTAAATTTCTATAATTTTTATTTGTTAGATAGGTATATTTTTGGTATTTGTATTTTGGAGACACTCTACCCTTTGGTCTGGCGAACCCGGCAATTGTTGGTGATGGTAAATGTAAATGTACTATTTATTGTTTAAAATATAATTATTATAGATGCTAAAATACTTTTAAAAAATAAAAGGTTCTCCGTCCATCTATGTTATCTGTTCAATTTAATCATCGGTCTCTGAACTACTTGCAATAAAACAAATATGTACGTGTGAATAGAACACTATTACGTATCACAAAATGTCCAATATTTTCGTATACTAGATTAAACAAATGCATTCAGGATTCTAACATATACATTTTCATATCTCAAATTCCTTAAAAAATTAAAAATGCATCTGTTTAGTCCAGCACACGAAAATAGTGGATATTGTGTGAATACTTCATAGTAGTGTTGTACCCATATGCACATACTTGTATTAACTATTATTACAAGGTACTTTATCAACAAATAATGAATAATACGTAGGAGTGTACTAGCTGTGTAGGACAACTCTTTTAAAATTATTCAAATCGGTCAAGCAATTTTTGATATTTAACAAGACTAACGAAAGCAATTCATTTTTATAGATACCTACATTATATAGGTTATACACTCAAACGACACTGTCGTGGCGTCGTACACGTAGTTATACAGATCCGAAAAGCAGAAAAATACAGACGTACAATTAATAATGTACCGTGTCTATATGGCTATATATATATGTGTAGTGTGTACAGTGTACACGATAAATTGTGGATATACGCACATCGTTGAAATACACAAATGTATATAATAATAATGGACAATGGTTAACACTTTACGGTCATAATTATATTATACTCTGTCACTTCGGATAGGTATAGGTACTAAGTACCTGGTACTTACTCGTATTATACAAGTACCTACCTATCTAGTTTCTAGACTTCTAGTAACTATAACATCTACCAACAAATAACAATATTATATTTTGTTGATACTAACAGATCGGAGACGGGAAGGATGATTGTTAATAGTTATTTATACATTTTATTGGGATAAATAAATAACACTTGGAGCGCTGATGGCTTATCAAAGATGTCCGCGCAAGTAGGATGATTATGGTCTGTGTACCCTGTGAATAGGTATTATTGTACTAGATTATATTATTACCTATTTACATAAAACATTTATAGTTACATACGTATTATTTAGTATTTTTTTTTAATAATATTTCAATATGATATTAAGTCTACAAGACATATTCGTGTTTGTGAAGTGTACTATAAACTCCAGGAATTTAGTAGAAGGAGAATGTGTCCTAAATAGTAATCAAATAATACTATGTGGAAAAATTATTACAGAAAACGTAAGTTTTGAAATAATAATTATAAAAACTGCTTTATATTGCTTTATTGCTGTTGTAATTCATAGAGTGAATGTATAGCTATAAAATGCTTAGTGCTTAAAACATCACAGCTTTCTGATATGCCACATGAAGTTAATGGTCAACTAAAAATATGTGATGGTGTTAATTAATTAGAAAAAAAACTAGATATTGGTTACTTTGCTTGCTCTTGCCCTGCTGGTGCATCTGAATGTTGCAAACATGTAGTAGCTGTGCTTTTATACCTAAATAGGTACATTTCTTTTTAAGTAAATAATAGCATAAGTACATTTTATAATATATTATATTTCTAATAAAACAAGTACTTTTGTATATTTTAGGGTTCACATTGAGGATATTTCTTGCCTTTCGAGCACTGATGTTGCATGTCAATGGTCTAAGCTTAAACAACCATCATTAGAACAATATAAACAAGTTCCTCTAGAAGATTTTTGTTGCATTAAGATAAAACAAAACAATCTGGCCCCTAGTTTAGAAGTAAACGGACCTTTAATTCTGTAAGTTGATTTTCTTTCATCACTTTTACATTTTTGAGATGGTAGTTCATATAAAATATATATTCTAAAATAAGAGTACCTATATATTTTTTCATTTTATTGATATTCTTATTTTAGTTACAAATTCTCATAAATATGCTTTTTTCATATCACAATAATAAATTACCTAATAAACATAAGAGTGATATAAAACAAAATTTGAACTTGATCTCTATTTACTATTTAGTATATTATGATTATTTGTTATTTTAATTAAATCACATTTTATTTACAGTGCAGAACTTTTATCAGCAGCTGGTGATTCGGCTTTACAATTTCACATTAGAGGCCGAAATTTAAAAAGATCATTAATTATTCAAGAACCAGAGACAAATAATGTAGTAGAAAAACTGAATCTGTTAAAACCACATTGTGTACTTGAGATTATTTATAATTATGGAGTTATGAACTTGGGTGATTGTTGTCAGAAAACTTGGTCAAAGCTATCACAATATGAACCAGACTACATCAGAATACGATCAAAAACAGACAAACATTTTTGGGATGATGTTAGACAATACAGAATAACTGGTAGCAGGTGTTATTCGTTATACACATATAACATGAAACCTAGAACAGAGGAAGAATGGAATTTAAAAGCATCTAAGTATTTTTGGCCTGTTAAAGTTTCTAATAAATTTGTACACCACGGAATTAAGTATGAAAATACAGCTAGAATTTTATATGAAAAAGAAACAGGTATACAAATTTTTCAATGTGGATGTATTACATGGCCAAATGAACCATGGTTGAGCTATTCACCAGATGGTTTAATAGTAAATGAATTTAATGTTCCTATAAAACTCGTTGAAATTAAATGTCCTTTCAAAGGGAAAAGTATGAATTCC